CACAGCCAATCCCTGCAGCTGACTGGCCTGGGTAAATCCCTCCCATTGACCTGCCACAGCAACCAAGGCTCAACTACAAGAGGAGGATGTAGTCAGCCCACATGAAGTGCACACCTTAAGTACCCAGCTTGGGTGACAGAGGTGGCTGTGCCACTGGATCCTACAGGACACCTACTATATTTCCACACTAAAAAGACAGAGCCAAAGCAGCTTTACCTAATACATAGAAACAATCACAGAGAGACTGCCAAAAGGAGGAGATAAAGAAATATGTCCCTAATAAAAATTATTCATCAACATTTCAGAAAAAGTGCAAAATGAAATGGAGATAAGCAATCTATTCAGTTGCAGAGTCCAAAACACTGGTTCTAAGGATGCTCAAGGAATTTAGTGAGGACCTCAACAGCATAAAAATGATCTAGTCACAAACGAAGGATACACTAACTGAAATAAAGAACAATTTACAAAGAAACAACAGTAGAATGGATGAAGCTGAGAATCAAATCAATGATATGGAACATAAGGAAGCAAAAATCAACCAATCAGAACAAGAAGAAGAAAAAAAAATGAGGATAGTATAAGCTGCCTTTGGGACAACTTCAAGCATACCAACATTTGCATCATAGGGGTGCCAGAAGGAGAAGAGAAAGAGCAAGAAATTGGAACTTTGAAAAATAATAAAAGAAATAAATGACCATGAATAGCTGCAGCAATTCTGAGAAAGAAGAACAAGGCAAGAGTGATCACAGTACCTGATATGAAACTGTATTACAAAGCCACTGTAATCAAAACAACCTGGACTGGCATAAAAACAGACACATAGACCAATGGAACAGAACAGAACCCAAAAATAAACCCAAGTCTCTATGGTCAATTAATATTTGACAAAGGGGAAAGAAGCATAAAATTGAGTAAAAATAGCCTCTTCAACAAATGGTACTGGGAGATCTGGACAGCTACATGCAAAAAATGAAACTCAATCACCACCTTACACCATTCAAAAAAAATAAATTCAAGGTGGGTAAAAGACTTAAATGTAAGTCATGATACCATAAAAGTCCTAGAGGAAAACATCAGCAGGAAAATCTCAGCTAGTCTACTCAGCAACATCTTCACTGTTATGTCCCTTAAAGCAATGAACATAAAGGAAAGAATAAACAAATGGGACCTCATCAAGTTAAAAAGCTTCTGCATGGCTAAAGAAAACAGCATTAAAATGAAAAGTGAACCAACTATATGGGAAAACATATTTGTCAATGATACCTTGGACAAGGGTTTGATCTCCAAAATGTATAAAGAACTCACATGACTCCATTCCAGGAAGACAAACAACCCCATTAAAAAATGGGCAAAATAATGGGAGGGAAGTGGGAAGGGTTGGGTGGGTGGGCTGCAATGGGAGTAAAAGGGAGACAACTGTACTTGAACAATGATTAAAATAAAAAAAAATTTTAAAAAATGGGCAAAGGACTTGAACAGACACTTCTCTAAGGAGGACATACAGAGGGCCCAGAGACATATGAACAGATGCTCAGCCCCACTAGCCATCAGAGAGATGCAAATTAAAACCACAATGAGATATCACTTCACACTGGTCAGAATGGCCATCATAAACAAATCAACACACAAGTGTTGGAGAGGATGTGGAGAAAAGGGAACCCCAGTGCACTGTTGGTGGGAAATGCAGACTGGTGCAGCCACTGTGGAAAACAGTATGGAATTTCCTCAGAAAACTAAAAATGGATCTACCTTTAGACCCGGCAATTCCACTGCTGGGATTATATCCTAAGAATCCTGAATCACCAATTCAGAAGAACCTATGCACCCCAATGTTCATAGCAGCACAATTTACAATAGACAAGTGCTGGAAGCAGCCTCAGTGCCCATCAGCAAATGAATGGATCAAAAAACTATGGTACATTTACACAATGGAATTCTATGCAGCAGAAAGAAAGAAGGAGCTCCTGCCCTTTGCGACAGCATGGATGGAACTGGAAAGCATTATGCTAAGTGAAACAAGCCAGGTGGTGAGGGACAATACCATATGATCTCACCTTTAACTGGAATGTAATCAACAAAAGAAAAAAGTAAGCTAAATATAACCAGAGACATTGAAATTAAGAACAAACTGACAATAACCAGAGGGGAGTTGGGAGGAGATAATGGGGGGAAGGGTTTTCAGGAACTACTATAAAGGACACATGGACAAAACCAAGGGGGAAGGTGGAAGCAAGGGAGGGAGGTGGGTTTGGTTGAGGTGGGGGGGAGTGATGGTGGGTAAATGCAGACAACTATAACTGAACAACCATAAAATAATTAAAATAAACAAATAATATATTTAGAATACATGAAAAAAAAAAGAAAAATAATGAAAGAAAACTGACCTATTTTGGTAAAGGAAATAGACATGCAAGTTCAGGAAGCAGAGTCCCAAACAAGGTGGATGCAAAGAGGCCCACTCTGAGACACATGAAAATTAAAACACCAAAGGTTAAAGATAAAGAGAGAATGTTAAAAGCGCAAGAGAAAAGCTGTTAGTTACCTACAAGGGTGCCCACATAAAACTGTGACCTGATTTCTCAAAAGAAACTTTGCAGGCTAGAAGGGGTTGACAAATATTCAAAGTGATGAAAAGCAAGGACCTACGACTAAGATTACTCTACCAGGCAAAGCTATCATTTAGAATTGAAGGACATTTAAAGAGCTTTCCAGACAAGAAGAATCCCAAGTAGTTCATCATCACCAAACTAGTATTATACGATAAGTTAAAAGGCCTTCATTAAGATAAAAATATGAATGGCAATACTCATAAATACGTAGATATCAACAACTGAATCTAAAAACAAAATAACAAGTTGAACCAAAACAGAATCATAGATACGGAGAACAATTTTGATGGTGCCAGATGGGAGGGGAGGTTGGGAGCATGGGTTAAAGAGGTGAAGGGTTTAAGAAGTACAAATTGGTTGTTATAGAATAGCCATGGGATATAAAGTACAGCATAGGGGAGATAGTAGCCAAAGAACAAATATACATGGCCCCTGGACACATATAATGGTCTGGGGATGGCCTGAGGGACAGGGCAGGAGGGCTTGGTTGGTGGGAGACAAGAGAAAATTTGGGACAACTGTAATAGCACAAACAATAAAATATAATTAAAGAGGAAAAAAAGAGAGCTCTGGTTGGTATGGCTCAGTTTATCGAGTGCTGGCCTGAGAACTGAAGGGTTACCATTTGATTCCTCCTGGTCAGGGTACATGCCTGGGTTGAGGGCCAAGTCTTGTTAGTTGGGGGTGTGTGAGAGGCAACCACTGGATGTTTCTCTCCCTCTCTCCTCCCTTCCCCTCTCTAAAAATAAATAAAATCTTAAAAAAAAAAGAATAAAACTTTATTCAGTGCAAAATAGCTCAATTGTGATCCAGCATGGCTGTAACAAAAAACACAGCTTGAGGGGGACCCTAGGGTGAGGCCCCTCTCTGGCTAGACAGTTCTGCTCTGCTCCAGCGAGACCTCTTCACATTTTAGCTCCAACCAGGAAAACACATTGTTGGCTGGAAAGGGAGCTCTGAGTCAGAGGGAAGCTGATTCATAGACATAAATTCCTGTCCCTGGTTCCTAAATGCTCCTTTCTCATGCAAATGAGGACTCCAAATCCTCACAGTTTGATTGGTCTAAAAGGCACTGTCCTAACTGATCAGAATGGTCCCACTTTGACTGGCCTGGGAAGCTGATAGGGGATATAGCTGCACAGCTGTGATTAGATGGAGAAAGTGTCAGTCCTATTGGTTGAAATAGGACTCCAGGAACTCCTCTATAAGGGCTGGCTGAGATGGTAGAAACACCGTGCAGGCAGGCAGTTCAGTGCAGGCTTCTCCTGGAGGTGAAGTTTGTGTGAGAGGCCCCGTGTAGAAAAAGCTGCCAGGCTGTTTTTGTTTTAGTTTATTTTGAGCCCAGTTAAGTCACCAGGGGTCCTTCTCAGTAGGTACTTTCTTTTTCAGGATCTACAAACACTTTGCATTATCAGCAAGAAGACAATCTTCCCCCGAGAGGATTTTACTCAAGTTATTGAAATATTGCTCTTATCATTAGCTATACTCATGGCCTCAACAACTTATGTCACTTCTCTTGCTGTTCCTGCCTCCCTACTTCACCTCTATGGCTGACTGCCAGTTCCTAATCTTTTTTTTTTCTGCCTGTCTTCCATTAAGTCTTTTTTATCCAAAACATATCAACTTGAAATGGAAACTTTTATAGCTTTCTCTTTTAGTTTCAGCTTGTGTTCACTCAGGCCTGCTATGTAACCAGTACTTATTTACACTGTGTTTTCCCTCCCTAATTAAAAGGAACTGAGTTACTGCCTCTGTGGTCACTGGGTAGTGAGGTTATTTTGGGCCATGAGGGCTAGGGGCAGGGTTAGGCTGGGGAGGTAGCCGAAGTCAGTTTCATGTCTGAAGCAAATCTTTGGTTTTCAATCATTGAACTCTAATTCTCATTAGGAATAGAATTAATATGTATAACCAAAGTATCATCTGGTTGTTAATTATTTGAAATAACTCTAAGAAAAAATAAATGATTTAGAAGGGACAGGATTTCTTTTTCACCCTTGGCTCCACATTTTAAAAATTAAATTGTCTGCATTTTGAATTAAGCAAAAAGGTTGAGAAAGGCCACTTTTTCTCCTTTGTATCTCAAAAACAAACCAATTTTTCAGTCTGTAAATTTCAGATATTATATTATAGTCCTGAAATCATCATGTTATAACTGAAAACACTTCTGCCAGATTAAGGGTAGAGAGGAGAGGAAAAAAAACAACTATGATTATCAGAAAGCAGAAATACTTATCTGAAATAACAGATAACCTTGGGAAGTTATTAGCTATGAGTTTTAACACCACAGGGCTTTGGATATAAGGAAGGAGAGTGTGCATGGCTAACACACAAGGTTAAGGAAAGCATTTATCAATTCAGAGTAGCAAATTGACTGTTCACAGAGCACAGAGGTCTACCAGAGCCATTTAATTTAATGAAATTACTCAAGATGCCCCCTTTCTTAAAGCATCTAGGAATCAGATGGAGGAAGATGGGTCAACATCATCTTTATCAAATCTTTGCAAAGGGTATGCTGATAGGAAAGCTTTGCATGGTGAATGGAAGAGATATCACAGAAGTGAATAACTGATTCTTATAATACTTAGATCTTGAATTAAGTTAGGGCTTGATCCACTTCCAGCCAGTGGACTGTACAATAATTTTTTGGTTCTTCTATCATTTTTTTCTTGCATTCCTCTAGATTTCACATATTCTTAATTTGTTTTACAGGTTACTGTTTTTCCTTTGGAATAAGCAAAGGGAGACTAAAAGGGAATTAATAAATGTTAAAATAGCTTGGTTTTAAGGTTTTGGTGTTTAACTTCAGGACATTTTCACAGAACATAGTGTTTTTAAATTAGGGTTAAAATGAAACTTTTCATTAGGATAATGCAGAGAAGGACATTCTTTCAGGAAAAAGAAAAAACCCTAAGCTTGCCTCTACCAGGCATCTTCTCTCAGGCACTGAGATGTCAACCATCCAACAAACGGGGATGGGCAGAAAGAGACTTCAAAAGACACAAATATATGATAGCTAATTTTTAGCAAGTCTGGCAATGACATCTTTCCATTCTCTCCTCTTCTTTGTGATGTATGCAGGAGTGAGTAGTTGTAATAGTGATTCTGGCTGTTGTCTAAACAAGTTCTGACACAAAGCCTCAGTGTTACATATCACGTACATCCCACAGTCATAGCTGTTTTGTTGAGCAGGGGCTTTCTCTTCCACAAAGGCCAGTTTGTCCCCTTTTCTGCCTAAGAAAGCCTCCAATTTCTCAGCTACCTGCTTTGCATGGACTGAGTTGCTCCTGCTATGGGAATCATAATGAAAAAAGCTATTTTTATCTTGGAGATAAACCAGCAAACTCCAGTGGGTTCCCCCAGCAGCTTGGTTGGAATTATCATTGATGGCTAAAAATACAACTTGCTTATGCGGGAGACCCAGGGGTTCAAGGAACATGGCGATCTCTGCTGGGTTGCTGGTGCACTTGATGAACTGGGTGACTTCAGGACTGATGAAGCAGACTCTGTCAGAGCAGTCATGAAACTGACTGTTGGCAAAATACTCGAAGGCAAATCCAATAATATGATCATTGAGCCAGCTTGGAGGATCTAATAGTGAGACATCTGATTGCCGCAGTAGACTGTCCATGTAACTCAAGACTACAGGGTCCATCGTGTACTGACCAGGATTGCTCAGAAATTCCAGAAGCTGAAATAGAGGCAGAAGACAACATTTACTGTTGAATATGATACCTGGCTATCAAATGGGGATAATATGTAATACCTACCCTCATGGGGTTTTGGTAAAGATTAAATATAATTGTAAACTGTTTGACAACAATGCCTGGCTAAGAGTAACCTTTTAGGAAACTAGGATAAGTGCTTTATGTTAACAATTAGGTAGAATAAAAACTTTGGAAATTTTCCATGCTGAAACAGTAAGCATGGATTTTTAATTTTCTTTTTAAGTATAGAGACTGGTTAAAATTACAACTAATGTTTCACCAAACTCCGTGGCATTAACCATATCATATATTTGGCCCTTTAATGAATATGCATAAAAATGGCAAATTACTTTTATATTAATGATGAATTTTCAAAGAGTCTAAAAAATGTTACTAATTACTAAGGGAAATAGTTTCCATTTCAACATTAATTTTCAAGAGATAAGATAAAATATTGCTTCCTCATTCCATAATGTAAAGTGACAGTGATTAGAGTTGTAGTTAAAAGGCACTGTAATTTCAAGAAGAGAAAATCATGAGTAACAGAAATGCAATTAATTCCTGATTCTGCCCAGCCAAGTGCATGAGTGATATATCTTTGCCCATTTCTCATCTTTAACCTCAAGGGGTAAGACAATGCCTATGTAATGCTTATAATGGAAGTTACAGCTTTTGTTGTTGATAGGCACTGTGGCACAGGAGTCAGCAGACCTGGGTTTAGCCGTTTCTACCACTGATTTGCTGGTATCATTTAAGCAAGTCTTTTAAGTGATTTGTCTTTGTTTTTGTTATCTGTAAAAAGGGTATTTGTCTGCTTTGCATGTTTCAGAGTGTTTGTAGAAAAGGCCAAATAATTTTGTTTGAAGATATTAAAAGAGCACAAAATGTTGTTCAAATAATATTTATGTTATTGTTTTTATCAGTAAGATGATCAGACAATTTGGATAGAGCTCCAAACCAATAAAAGCAAATGAAGTTTAGAAACAAATATGTATTCATGCAAGGGTGGGCAAAGTAGCTTTATAGTTGTTTACAGTAGGTTTATTTGTTAATTATTATATTATATATTTCCATATGAACAAGTGTAAACCTACTTTTGCCCACCTTGTGTTATCTTGTTCAAACAAAAGCATGATTTAGGGTAAGTGCAAGACAAGTCGTATGATAAGATTAATATGCTCATGATCACCTGAGGTAAGGTGCTAACAAAGACAGTAAGTCTAGTAGGTGATAAGGTAACAATATTTGAGCCTAACAGAAAGCTCATTGCTGTGCACTGATTTGGCAGCATAACAATATTTCTAAAAATCACAAAGCAATAAATTGTCACATGCAGATTGAGACTACAGAGCAATGCACATTGGTAAAAAATAATACTGCTGTGAAAGACTGAGTTAAAATTATGACATCAATTTAATCAATTTTGGCTATTAGGTCAGTTATTTTACCACTTGCTTACACTATTAAAACAATAAAATTCTGTGGCACAACCATTTTCATGTAATCAAAACCCTACAAAAACCTATATAAAAATAAACATACAGTAAATAAGGTAAATGAACTAAGAAGGACAAAAGAGGGTTTTATGTGCACACAGTATGTCATAATGTGAAGTACTTCAGAAACAATATGAGGTTGTTTATGAGTGTGTATCTATCTGTCTACAAACTGAGATGGTATGAACTATGATTTTCTCAAGAAGAAAGAATAATTTCAACAGAGATGTAACCTGGAGCCAGGAACAAAGTTAATGAGGCACGGAGCCCATTTGTGATGGGTGGGCCACGAATTTGGCTCTATGGTGTTTGGCAGTGAACCAGAGAGCATTAAGTTAAATATTCACAGTGACCATAGGGTAAAAACAAAGCAATTGCTCAGGAGAGCTAAAAGCTTTAGGTCAGTTTTCTCTCAAGAAATTTTCATAGAAGACATGGTGTATTATAATGAATAATGTCCTCCAATATCCTTGTAATAGATGAAATTGTTTCAGAGGATTGTTTTTTCTAATGATCCTTAATACTAGCATGATGGCAAATGAGCAAAGGGCAATCTGTATGGACAGTAGGTCTCAGCTTGCTGCTGATTTGACTTAAGAGTACATGAACATGAAAAGGGAATGACTGCATGTGTACCAAGCAAGGCTCCCTCAGTCACTCTCCTATGCCATCAATGGACACTGTGTAGTGGCACTGCCAAGTTGTACTGCCTAGCGAATACCTAGACCTCTTCTCTGTGCTGCCAGCTGAAATCAGATCCACATCTTAATAGCCAACCCAACCAGGGATAGGAGCCTACAAGGAGAAGAATGCCTGAATAGAGAGGCACCTTATTTTGGAGGGAGTATCCAGAGTCAGAGTCATGATTTTCTTCAAGAAATCGTTGTTGTATTTTACCTATTTAATTTTGAAAACATTAACACACAGACAATGGTTCGATCAAGGACCTAATTCTATTCCATACTATATGGCTGCAATAGTTTAACCCCAACAATTCTAAAGCAAACAGGACTAGCCTTTGGAAAACCACCCTTGGCCAAGAAAAAGTACTCTAAACTTCACAAGTGAAGACCTGAATTTTAGACTCAGTTGTGCTACTCATACAGTTCTGTGTGATCATAAACTATTTAATTTCTTTAAACCTCAGTTTCCTCTTCTGAAAAGTGAGACTATGAATACAAATACATAGGTTAGTTGTCAATGTAAAATGAAGAAACACAGGTAAGTAAAATAAAAAAAAAAGTATTATTTCCAGATATCTATTGTGCCATCAGGAAATTCCTATCACAATAACTGATAACTGTAATGAATTTAATTTAATGCATGGTTACTGAATGTTTCCTTTGTGCCTAGGGGCTGGAAAATCAGAATGAGATTGAAATAGTAATAGGTCCTACCTTTATGAGTTTAAGCTTATTATGAACACATAATTGATATACATGTACCTCTTTTAGTCTATAAACACCTCCTGTGTACCTAATATTAGGTATTGTGGGAGATACAAAGATGTATAAGGTGGCTTACACACAATGAGAGAAGAAACCCTGAAGGCACAAATAAAACACATGGGAATCCGTAAGGAGCAATCATTCCTGGCAAAGAGGGTGAAAGGGAAGGAGAGCTCAGATCAGGAAAGACTTCAAGGAGAAAGTGGCATAAAAGTGGGCTCCTGAAAGGCAGGTATGGTTAGATGCATGAAGATTGACATTAAGAAGGCAGAGATGCATGGAAAGCGTCTTTAACTGTGTAGTACGGTCTGTCTGGAATAAAGTATGGGTATGAGTGAAGGCGGAGGTTAAAGGAAGATTACTAGAAGCTAAGTGGTGATAGACTGAATTCCAGGTGAATTTGGAATTTATACTGGAGGAAGAGGTAAGCCATGAATGACTAGGCCAGTGCTTTAGAAGATTAATGATTTAGCTACAACAAATAGGATTAAGTGTTTGGGAGAGAAGAAATTGGAGGTAGAGATCAATTAGATTTTTATTAAAAGTAAAAATAGGAAGGCATGACCTAAATCTGGGGAAATGGTAGTAGGAATGGAGAAACAAGGAAGAAAAGATATTGTAGACAGAGAATCAATAAGCGATCAGGGAAAGGCAGACTGGGTAGGAGAAAAAAATTAAGAAATGATCATTCTAAGCGTTCTAGTTGTGGTGACTGGGAGGACGATGATCTCATTCCACACCCTCTCCCCCCAAAGAAGGCAAACACACCAGACCCCTTTTGAAAATAATTGATTTTTTAGAGGAAGAGGGTAAGGGAGAAGAGGGAGAAGGAGAGAAATAAAAACACTGCTGTGAGAAACATCATTGGTTGCCTCCCAGAGGCTCCCCAACCAGGGATCGAACCTGGCACCTTTTGCTGCACAGGACAATTCTCCAAACAACCTAGCCACTCCAACAGGGCGATGATCTCATTGTTAATGAGGGAGGGAAAAGGAGATGGAAGAAGATCTAGCAAAAGAACTGAGAATCGACCATCTAGAACCATCCCAGGGATATTTCCTTTCTATAAAGTGAGCACTGTGCTTGGAATATCTGAGGTAGAATAAATATTTGCCAGAGTGAAATGTTTTAAAAAGGGAATCAGAAAATAGAGTAAAAAAGAGAAATAAGCCCATTTAGGATTTTTATATTGTCTGTAACACTCCATTTTTGTTTTCTTTTTGTCTGTTTCCCTCCATTGATTAATAGTAAGCTCCTTCCGAATTAAAAGACCTATGTACTTGGTTTTGGTAGATGGTAAGGAATATTGGGAGAGTGAACTGGGGGGACAATGACCTCCTCAGAGTTCTATTTGTAAAATCCTACAAAATATAGTTCTGTTTTGGGGCAGGGAGGCTTTGGATCCAGGCTCTAACTTTCCCACTTGCTATCTATATGACCTTGAGCAAGCTATTCATCCTCTTTCTGGGCCTTGTTCTCCCCATCTGTAAAATGAGGTAGTAATAAAACCTTCCTCACAGGATTAAGTGAACTAAAAATGAGGGAAAACAGTCTGCACAATGTCTAGTATGTACCAGGCTCTCAAAAAAAAAGTTAGTTTCCTTCCTTGTTCCCTATATTTGGGGTAATAATAGATCTTAAAAATTCCTTGAAAATAAAGCACTATTTTTGGTTTCCATAAAGCCACAAAGTCATATCAAGGATAGACCTGGCCAGGGCACAACTCCATGCCCTTGTGCTTTACTGCTGGCATAAAAAGAGGGAATGCTAAACTGCAGAGAAAATGGTTCCACTTCAGAGTTAAGCAGTGACATTAATGTATTGTCAGTGTGCACAACCCTGCGATTCCTGGGTTTAATTTATACCTTCCTACTTCTGTCGTGAAATGAAACCAATATTAAATTCATACTGTAGAACACTTCCTAAACAAAAGTTTAACAAGAGATTTTTTCATATTAATCTTAAAATCCTTAAAATGCATAATACTTGAATATTTGTTATAAAAACAGCAGAACTAAGTAAGAAGTGATAAAAACTAAC